CATCAGGGTTTGGCATGAAGGGGGAGCTTAGGGCTGGAGGAGCAGTGCTGGGTAGCACACAATGCGGGCACAGCATCGCCCATGGGTGCCCAGTGCTGGTGGGGATCTGCTTGTGGGGTTTTTACGCCCTGGGCTACAAAACCCTCCTGGATTGAATGTGATTTTGAATGATCCACTTGTATTTTCTCTGCCCATCAGCAAACGGGGTTTGGCCGCATCAGTGGGGTTGGGTTTGCCGTTTGTATTCCCTCCTCATTCCCTGTTGCAGCCACGAGCCCTGCTCTGCTCCAGCTGATGTGCTGAGTGATGCCACCTGAAGCGTTTGAGCATCGTTTATCTCTAATTACTTATCTTTTATCATAAGGGCGGCTCTTGCTGCTGCTTAGAGCTGACTGAATCAGCTTACAAAGGTGGCTGCGTTGCTGTGGCCTTGCTGCCCTTGCCAGGGTCAGCAGGGACACGCTGGGGCCGGGAGCTGGGACCACACCACGCGTGTGCAGCCTGATTTAAACACTGCGGCTGATTCTTAGCAAGGAAGAGGAATAAAGATCCCCAGAATCACTGGGGCTGCCCCATCCCTGGCAGTGCTCAAGGCCAGGTTGGACACAGGGGCTTGGAGCAAGCTGCTCCAGTGGAAGGGGTCCCTGCCCGTGGAACTGGGTGGGCTTTAAGGTCCCTTCCAACCCAACCCATTTGTGATTCTACGGCACTTCGATGGTTTAAATGATTGTTTGTGCAGCCCTGGGGGTGCTGGTTATGTCCTGGTGTCCTCAGACCCCCGTGCAGGCACCTCCCTGTGTCCCCAAGCGCTGCAGTAAGAGTCGTGCTGCATTTAAACTGCTTTCTCCTTGTCCTTTGCTGCTCATTGACATTGCAGCTGCGTTTCTGCCTCTGCCCTGCCCCGGCGAGCCACGGAGCGAGCAGCAGGGATGGGAGACGAGGACATCATCATCTTTATGTGCCCTCAAGGGGATCAGCTGAACCCAGCCGGGGCTGAGCTGGTCCAAGCGCGGGCACCCCCAGCACTGCAGCAGGATTCATCCCGTGGGAGCTCCCTCCATCTTCCCTGTTCATTAATGACATGAAAGCCCAGGCAGGGGCTCCAGGGAAGGAATCCAAGGAGCTGGTGCTGCTTCCTAGAGCATGGATGCACCCCATGGGGCCGATGGCCTCCCCACAGCCCCATGCCAGGGCACGTGCTGGATGGTGAGAGCAGGAACCCCATGGGAGGGACAGGAGATGGTGAGAGCGGTCGGCACCATCCTGGCATCCGGCCTGTGAGGGGTCCAACCCCACTATGGGTCTGGGGATGGGGTTCCTGGACTGGGGGCACTGGGATGGTGCCAGGTGATTTACAGGGTGTCGGTGATGGGTTTTCCAGCCTGGTGAGTTTGGCCTCTCCTGCCCGTTCAGCCAGGGCAGCTCCATGCAGGAGGATGCTGTCCCTTGCCATGCAGGGGTGGTCCTTCACGGTGCCCCTTGGCCATGGCACAAATCAGGTTTTCATCCCCCTGTGCTCCATCTCGTCCTGGAAGAGCTCCCAAAGCCTCTCAGTTCCTGTTGGCAATGGGAGCATGGGATATGGAACATGGGACACAGGAAAGGGCATCTCCTCCTTGGCACTGGGCACTGGCCATGCTGTGGGGGCTGCCGGGGGTCTCGTGCCTGCTCACTCCCAGCTCTCCAGCCCATGGGGAGGAGATGATGCCCTCCAGTGAGGCACATCCCCAGAGGTGCCTTGGGATGTGGGATGAGTTGAGGTACCTGAAATCCCTGCCACCTCCCGGTGCCATCTCTGCTTTAACTCTCTGGAGCCTGAAATGGGGACAATGGTGGGGTATGGACGGGGGCTGCTCCATCTGATGGGGGCTCTGCAGCTCCGCAGCTCACGTTGGGATGCAGCATCCCAGCTGTGGCAAAGCCCCCAAATCTGATGTCTCTCCTCATTTCCCTCGCGGTGCTGGGGCTGTGCTTTGGTTCTGGGGGGGGGTTCCTCCCCACTAAAGCTGTTTGCAGGGCTGTAAACCCAATGCGCCGTAATTCAGCCCCAATGTAAATGTCATGTCAGCGTGGGAACGGCGCAGCTTCCCGGGGGTTGGCGTGTCAGCCGAGGGGCTCCCCGCATCCCGGGAATGCGGATGCTCCCCCCCACCCCACCATGGCCCCTTCTCCCCCTCCGCCATCCCATGGGGCCGGGACCGGCTCCGTTTCCTCACCGGGATGGGGTTCGGTGGTCACCCCAAAAGGAATTCCCAGGGGATCCAGGCTGTGGCAGTGGCCCAGGGATCGGGGTCTGGCTTGTTTGTGGTGGGCTCTTTCGGGAGGGGACCGGGACTGCGGGAAGAGCTTTGGAGTTTCTCATCGTGGGCTGGTTTTCACTTAGGCAAAGCAGAACCATGTGTCCCGTGCGCGGCTCTGGTTTTGCTTATGGGGGAGCGGGAAGAGCTGGGGAGGGGAAGAAGGAAGGGCAGGGATGAGCAGGGCTGTGGGATGTGGGATGTGCCATTGGCCATCAGTGCCTTTGGCGTGCAAAGCACGGGGCTGTGGGAGAGCAGCCAGTGGGGACCCGGCTGCTGCTGCCCTGTGTCGCCAGCCAAGGGAACGCCTGCACTGGGATTGCGGCTCTGAGTGTCCCAGGAATCACCCCTGGAGCAGAGCTGGAGAGGGGAACCTCAATTCAACTCAGAGCCGGCTCTGGGGCTGCTTTTCCCTTTCAGCACTCCCCACTTTGGGGCCAGTTTTGCCATTTTGGGGCTGGTTTGACCCTGGGGCATCCCGCTGCAGGCTCTGGTACCCGCAGTGCAGCATCCGCCCTGGTTGGGGGCGTCAGACACACTGATGCTCTTTGGGGGGCTCAACTCCCACCAGAGCATGTCAGGAGCTTGCAATGAGCCCTTCTTGGGTGCTTTCCACCATCCCTGTCCCCTCCGACCATCCTCGGAGCAGGCTTTGAGCTGGAGGAGCCGCTTTGCAGCAGCCTCTGGAGCTGCTTGCCCATGAGCCTGGATGGAAATTGTTTAATTCCAGCGGGATGAGTCATGAGGAGCCGGGATTTCAAAGCAGCTTGGCTCCCATGTAAGGCACTCAAATAAACAGTGTGTGGCAGGTGGAAGCTCTCTCTGATGTCCCGTCAAGGCCTTTGTCTTTCCAAGTGCTTTTGTGGTGCCAAAAAGCCCTCGGCCACTCCACGGCCTCCTCCATTCTTGCACAGCATGGCTGAGACCAAGTGCTTGAAGGTAATAAATCAGTGCCCGGAAGCATGAATCTGCTGCAAATTTATGGCACACTTACTTAGGATATAATGTCTTTTGGGTTCTCTTGGTCCCTGGGCTTTGATGCATCAGGGCTGAGGGTTTTCACGTCTCCTCCTTCTCCCCCCAAGCAAGAAGGGTACGAAAGGGAAATCTCTGCTTTCCCCTCGTCATCCCATGACTCAAGGAGTTGAGGCTTCAAGTCAGTGCATACTGGGAGCAAATCCTGCTTGAAGCATCAGGAATGGGTTAGAAAAGAGCGATGAGAAAAACTGGGGGTGTGAGCAGTGAGGGAAGTCCGAGAAGCCCAAGATGCTCGGGGTTTGTGAGCAAAGGCAACGCATCCGCAGGGAAGGGGTCCCTGCGTTTGGATTTAGCAGGAAAAAGCAGTGGAAATGCTGGCACTGGAGCGCTGGAGTGAAGAACACCGGAAACAAGACTGGATTGATCCGAGTTTATTGAATGGGATTCCTGCTGAAGAGTGAGGCTTGGAAGAGTTTCCTTAGGGTGTGGGGTGGATTCGTTGGATCCCCTTCGAAAGGAAAGCTGAGAGGGGCATGGAGGGGTCTGCAGCAGCAGGGGCTGCCAAGACAATCAACTTGCTCCCTCCCGACTAAGAGACAGGAATTGGCCGTGCTGCTGTTGGTTCCTTTTCCCTTGGGTTTCCAGTTCTCCAGGACACGGGGTGGTTTCTGCTCTGCTTGGGAAGCAGCGAGCCCTGGGTAGGGATGAGAGCGGGGTAGGTGGTGGAGACTTCAGCCCTTCATGGAGCCAGGGAGAATCCCTGGGTCCATCCCAGGATGTGTTGGCAGCAACCAGTGCCCCATGCCTCGAACCCCCTGTGATCATTTATCATCACTGGGAGCAGGTTTGAGCTATGTGGAAAGCAGGAAGATGGGAGAGGGCAGCTCCGGCATCATCCCGGCTGAGTCACGGCTCCGATGCCTCTTTGTGTGTTTTTCCTTTCCCCTTCAGCTCTCACTGCAGGTTGGCACACGTGGTCCGAGGCTTTTTAGAGCGAGAGAAACCAAAGGCAAAGCCTGGAATGTTGGGAGTCTTGATATTGTTTTGAGTGCTGGAGCCGGGCTTTCAGCCTTTTGAAAGGTCACTGGCGATGGGTGGGGGCCAGGCTGCCTGGCTGCTGGAATAGCAGCCTCTTTTATGGGAGGTGCAGCAGGGCTGACACCGCTCTGCTAACGTTTTATGGGCTTGCAATGAGCCAGAGGCACTTTCTCAGGTGGATGGGTTGAAGGTCGCAGCCCTTCCCTCCCCGGCGCAGCCCTGAGCAGCTCAGGAGGTACTGATGAAGGTCCAGGCCATGTGTGATCCCATCCTGGTTGTCCACCTCGGTATTCACCTCCCAGAACGCGCAAACATCCGCTGCCAAAAGCTGCTTGTCCTCCCATCCAGCAGCACTGCGAGCGGGTCCCTTCCCACCGCCCAAACCCCTGCATCTGCATCACCCGGGGCTGCTGGTCCTTCTCGTGTCCTTCATTCCTGAGCTGTCACCAGGTCCCCAAGAGCAAACTGCAGCTTCCTCAGGCCTTTCCCTTTTGGCACCCATCCCCTCTGCCTTGCTGGGAGCCGTTTGATGCTGGTGAGCGTTTTCAGTGCCTTTTCCCCGCTCCTGCTCTAATCTCACAGGAGAAACCTGAACTTAAGGCACCCAATTCATAGAATCCCAGAAACCCAGACTGGTTTGGGTTGGAAGGGACCTTAAAGCTAAAGCTCCTCCAGCTCCAACCCCTGCCACGGGCAGGGACCCCTTCCACTGGAGCAGCTTGCTCCAAGCCCCTGTGTCCAACCTGGCCTTGAACACTGCCAGGGATGGGGCAGCCACAGCTTCTCTGGGCACCCTGTGCCAGCGCCTCAGCACCCTCACAGGGAAGAGCTTCTGCCTCAGAGCTCATCTCATTACAATGATGGACGTAGGTACCAACACACCCAGCGCCTCCATCACCCCCCTCGCACCTTCTGGATGGGGCAGCCAGCCCCTCCTTGGCTCTGCAGGAGGAGACAGGGACGGGAGCATCCCAGCCCCATTCCTGGTGCTCCCGATGCTCCCCACGAGCCGGCTGCAGGCTCTGACCTGGTGCTGCCGGTGCTTATCTCCCCCAGCTCCGCCGCCGTGTTCCCGTCGGGATCGCATGGTCTGACTCCTTATATGGTGAAACTATTCTTTTCCCAGCTTGGCATTGTTTATAGTTGAAAATATTTAGGCTCTGGCTGGGTTCTACAATTACCTTGCAACCTACAGGGCAGATAATCACTGTTAGCTAATGTGCAATTAGCTGCATCCTGTCAAAGAAAGGCTTGCTGGCAAGGAGGCGGCGTTCCCAGCCCTCCTTGTGTTCTTCAAGAGCAGGAACCTGTCAGATCCCATTTGGAAATAAACATTTTTTTCCCCTGTTGGTAAATTCTGTTTGGCAAAAAATTGCTGAACCGGGGCCGCTTTTTGTTTTTTTTTCTTTTTTTTTTTTTTTCCCCTGGTGGAAAATTTATTTGAAAAGGGGAAAATGTTTGGAGTTTGTAAGGAGCTGGAATCAAACCAGGGGCCGGGAGGCAGTTGCAAGTTGGTGCAGCTTCCAGAGTATCTTTGATGGGGATTTAATGCCTGACAGCCCATTGATGGGAGCACCGACCCCATTCCCTGCTGCCCTGCCTGGCTGCAAGGTCAGTTGTAAAATCCCACCAGATCCAACCTGCTTTGGATGGAGGAAATGGAATGGTGCAAGGTAAGGGTGCACTTTGCCTGTGAGGGAAATGCCAGTGGGGTTCCTTTATGCTTTGAGAAACCAGGCTGGGCTGCACTGGATGTTCTGCATGGCTGAGGTCCCACCAGAAGCCTTGCAGCCGTGCTGGGATGCTCCAGGCATCCCATTCACTTCTTCCTGAGGTTGTCATGATTTTGGCTGGGTTGGATGGAGCTGCCGTGTCCCTGTGCCAGCGGGGAGGGATTTGGGCTCTGGTTGAGCATCTGGGTGGGAGGATGGCCGGGACACCAAAGCACATCGGGGCTCTCTGAGGAGGAGGAAGGACGATGGAGCTGGGGCTCCTTACACTGCTCACCACGTCCCAAGGAGGGGATGTGCAAGGCAAAGAGGTGTCACGGGCTGGGGTGACTTGAGTTTGCCCCTCCTTTTTCCCTTCCACTGTGATACCAGCCCCTGGTGTGAGGAAACTTGGCCGGAGCGAGGGGAGGTGGATATCATGGAATGATTTGGGTTGGAAGGGACCTTAAAGCTCATCCAGTTCCAACACCTTCCACTAGAGATCAACCTGCCTGGCCAGGCTGCGTGGCGTGGCTGAGGGCACCCCCTTGTCCCTTTGCCACCACTGGCCCCAGGCCACCCTCACCTGCCGTGGCCAATTCCCCCTCTGCAGCGCAGCCCTATCTCCATGCCTCAGTTTCCCTACATCAACACTGCTCCAGTCTCAGGAGGGCAGAGGGGATGAGATGGAGCCAAGGGGATGCTGGTGGTCCCATGGGAGATGGTCATCCAGTCCAAGCTGTGGGGATGCGGGGTGGGAAGAGGGGCCGTGGGTGAAGGCCACGTAATAAGGATATTTGTTTTGCCTGTTTTGCAGAGTTTCAATGTTCTGACTTGCTCTAAGATGAAGGTATGGAAGTTTGCAGCCATTGCATCGATGCTCCTCAGTTCCATGTTATCCATTTTAGTTTGTAGAGACATGTTCAACGGAAGCCGGAAATACAGCCCCTTGCCTTCCTCGCCGTCTTCCTCACGGGCATCATCCTCCTCTTCATCCTCTTCCTCCTCCTCCTCGCTGCCGGTGGCTCCCCGGAGATCCCCACGGGCCCTGCAACGCCACAGCTCGCTGCTCGCCCAATGTAAGCTGCTGCTCCTCTGCACCAGGGCCACCGTCCCTCCTGATCCCACAGCATCCGGCCCCACACTCCCATTGGGACACGCTTCCAGCTCACAATGAAACGCTCCAGAGGGTTTATTCCCTTGGTTTCTTTCCCTGCTCTTGCTTCTGCACACCCCTTTATGCATGGTTAAGGAGGAGCTTGGGATGCAGCAGGGGGTCCTGCGGTGCAGGCGCTGGGCACCAAACCGTGAGCATGCAAACGGCTCATCTTAATGCGAAGAAGCTGCTTTTTTAGCACCAAATGGCTTTTTATTTTCTTTAATTTTTAGGGGATTTTTTTCCTATATTTCTGTGCTATTTTGACACATGCTCCATGTCAAACAGGAGCTGAACACGAGGGGGACGGCTCCGCTCCACGGGGAGGCAGCAGCTTCCCCCCTCGGTGCTGGCAGCCGGCTCAGCATCCCGGCGTGTCTGTTCCCCTTCCAAACCAGAACAACTTCTTTTGGGGCTGAAACGTGGGAATCGATGACAAGTTGTTAAATTACACTTTCCTCCATCCTTCCTGCACCTCCCCGGCGCTGAGCTGGACCAACCCCAGCTTCAGCGTTTGGATAAAGGGATTTGGATGCTGCCAGCGGTGGCTGGGGACAGTTTGCAAGTTGGGGGATGGAGATCTTCCACCCAGGCCATAGGGAAACACTCTGGCTGATTTTTAGCAAGGAAAAGGAATAAAAGTCCCCAAAATCACTGTGGCTGCCCCATCCCTGGCAGTGTTCAAGGCCGGGTTGGACACAGGGGTTTGGAGCAAGCTGCTCTAGTGGAAGGGGTCCCTGCCCGTGGCAGGGGTTGGAACTGGATGGGCTTTAAGGTCGCTTCCAACCCAAAGCAGTCTGATTCTGCGCTGTGCTGGGAGTGGAAGGGGCTGTCTGGGAGAGCTCCAGGCAGGGGAGGAAACAAGAAAATAAAGCAAGAAAAGGGAAAGGAGAGGAGGGAGTTTGGGGTTTTTCACCCTGGGGCTCCCAAGGCCACGGGGGAGCTCTGGCCTCAGGGTTTGGGGTTTGGGTTTTAAAGCCTTGGGGTGCCTCATGCACACCTCAGGACGGCTGCTGGGAACCAGCACAGGGGACGGGCACTGCCCTGGGGACCTCCAACGTGGGCAGCATCCACCTGCCCCAGGCCACCCCCATTGAATCCTAGAACGAACCAGGTTGGAAAAGACCTTTAAGAGCATCAAGTCCAACAGTGCCAAGGCCACCACTGCCCACGTGCCCTAAGCCACCTCCATCCCATGGAGGAGCTGCAGGGTGGGGGGCACCCACTGACGCGCACCCCTTCCCTTGCAGACAGCAGCCTGCTGGAGAGCTACACGGAGGGGGAGATCCGGCAGCTGATCGCGGCGCTGGTGGAGCGCTACAGCCAGGCCATGAACTCGGGTGGGCACGAGCTGCCGCTGTTCCCGCGCGCCGGCAGCCGCCGCAAGCGCGCCCGCGCTCGCCACAAACCCTGCGAGCTGAAGGAGCTGGAGGTGAGCGTCAGCGAGCTGGGGCTGGGCTACGAGTCGGATGAGACGGTGCTGTTCCGGTACTGCAGCGGCACCTGCGAGGCGGCCGTGCGCAGCTACGACCTCTCGCTGAAGAGCATGAGGAGCAAGAGGAGGATCAAGAAGGAGAAGGTCCGGGCGCGACCCTGCTGCCGGCCGCTGGCTTACGACGACGACGTCTCCTTCCTGGATGCCTACAACCGCTACTACACCGTCAACGAGCTCTCGGCCAAGGAGTGCGGCTGCGTGTGAAGGGCCGGGGTCCCCTCGTAAGGAACAGGAGGGAGAGGTGATGCCCCGGCCCTGGAACCTCGCTGGTCACCAGGCAGAGGGACCGGGCACAAGGATAAGCCCAGACCTCCCCGTGCGGGAGGAGAGACTGAGCTGCTGGTGCGTCCCTTGGCACCGCACAGGACTAGAGACGTGGCTGGGGGTGCCGGTGGAGGCTGCTGTTGTTGGAGTGGTGATGGGTGCTTGCGGCTGTTGTCCCACCCCATGGCGGTGGCCATGGGGTCCCTGTCAGCCTCCCCGGAGGGTGACGGTGGGCGCACAACACACGCAGGGCATGTTCGACACGTTGAGGTTGTGTTACAGGCAGAGGGGGTGTTGCAGAGCGGGTGTCCCCCTCCCGTGGCAGAGGTGATGGGGCACACTGGGCAGCGTGTTTGTTCGCACGGGGGGGTGTTGTGCGGGTGTTGCTGCATATGGCGTGGTGCTGGTGGTGCATGGTGCTGGTCGGGGTGTGCTGCGTGCCCAGTGTGTGTTACGGGGTGCATTAGATGGCTGTATGTGCCCGTGCTGCCCCAGGACAGGGCTGAGCCCTGCAGGTCCCTGCATTCCCAGGGGCAGTTTTGTCACCCCAGGTCCCTGTGTTTGGGGTCAGAGATGCCCTGGCACTGGCTGGTGCTGGGGGGGGGAAGGCTCTGGCTCCGCTCCCCACCGATGCCCCCTTCACCATCACCTCCACACCGCAGCCCTGGGCTTTTCTTTTTAAAGCTCACGCTGATCTGAAGTAACTGGATTAACCTCGAGCCCGGGCAGCTGGGCTGGAGCCCTGCCACCACCCTGCCGGTGACAGAGCCTCGAGAGGCCACCGGTGCAGGAGCATCCCTGGTTCGGCATCACGCAGAGCCGGACCGGGCTCTCCCGGCTATGGCACGTGAGTATTGCCCATCGGTGGGGCTGGAATCCTGCGGGAGAGGGGGCTCATCCCGGGCTTTGGCTCCGGTTCACATTTACAGCAGTGTCACTCTTGTTTACTCTGCGGAGAAATAAATGAGACCGCAGACTTTGGCGTCCTCGGGGCAGGCTATATTTGCTGCCTGGGATTGATGGGCTTTCTCCCCTTGGCCCTCTTCCCAGAAAAAGCAAATCATAAACAGAAGGAGAATATTGGTGTCATGTCCTGGGCATTAACCAACATGAGGGAAAAGGGCTCTGCTTGCCACCCCCTGATCGCAGCAGTGTCCCAGCTCCTCCACCCGGCTAAATGGGACTCAATGGCCCATCTGCCTCCATCCTGGCGCAGCAGTGATGAGGAGGAGTCCTCATATAGGTGACCACAGCAGCCGAGGGAGCAGAGTGGGGTGGGAGACAGCTCTCCCTGCGACCCCAACCTCTGCAAGGGGCCGGGCTGGTGGGTTTGATCTTCCTTCTTCATCCCAACGCAGCTCTTGGCTGAGCAGAGCCAGGATGTAGTGAGGCAACATAAACAGCATCCTTCAGCAGGGCTGGCTGCGCACCCAGCACCCCTGGGAAAGCAGCCTGTGCTCCCTAACACAGCGTTTTCCTGCTGGGGAAGGGAGAAGGCAGCCACAGGCATGGGGAGCATCCGTGCTGGGGAGCCAACAAGGGCTGGTGATTCTGTACCACGGGGATGCGAACGCTGCTGAGAGCAGACAAGCGTGGTCCATGCCGCAAGGGAGAGTTTGCACCACAGGGCTTGCAGGGAAAGGAAGAAGCTGGCCCAAGGAGCAGTGGGAGAAGGATGGGGACAGCCATTGGCTCGCTATTGGCTTTGACAGAGTAAATGCACCCAAATGTACTAATCCTGACTGCGCTCTCAAGGGCCTGGGTGCTTTCCAGTTCTCACTACTATAAAACTAAAATTAGTTCTGTTGTAGTAGGAAAAAACCCAAAAGGAGCTAGGGCAATAAAGCAAGGGAAGGTGTTGCAGAAGCAAAGCAGGGCCCAGTGCTGCAGGAGCAGGGTTTGCAGCCCGGCTGCCTGGAGTTTTCTTACCCGGAGCACAGGGAGGTGGCTGGGAGACTTTGGAGCCTTTGCTTGGGGAATGGATTTAGGGTGCCTCGATTTGCAGGGATCAAAGGCAAAGGGATCAGGGACCCAGTGTAAATGCAGCTCGCACCCCAAAGAAAGAGGCACGCTGGGATCTCCCCCAGAGCAATGTGTGTGTTGCAGACCCACACGAGTGGCTCCAATTCATCTATTTTTTCCTCCTTTTCCCTTTCACCCGCCAGCAGCTGAGCACCAGAGGAATAGGGGAAGCGCCTGACATCCGCGGCTGCGCCTGCACGTTTGGGTTTGGGATGCAGCTGGGGTTTGGGATGCAGCTGGGATTTGTAACTGCAAAACTCCCCTGTCCAGGTCTTGGGGTCAGCTGGGGCATCACGGCTGTGGCCAAAGGATGTCTTTTGCTTTGTGTGTCTTCTCTCGTGCATCTCACTGAGGTCCATCCTCCGCGTGGAGCTGCTGCGGCTCCACCGCAGGAGCGCTGCTCATCCCGCGCCGCTTCGCTGCCGCCTGGGCATGGAAATGTGGTTCCAATCGAAAGGCTGATATTTCCCTGATGCTTTCCATTTCTACAGCCCTCTCTGCTGTAATAGGAGCTGGAGCTGTCCGGAAGAATGTCTACAATGCAGAAAGGGCAGCAAAGGACGGAAAATTCCCTGCTCAAAGATGCAACAAAATCGCATCTGGCTCCTTCCTCCGCATCCCATGCGTTATTTAATGTTAATCATAATAAAGGGGGTGCAGCATCCGCATGGGGTTGGGTTTAGGTTGGGTTTTTTGCAGCTTGCCTCGGTGTTGCTGCAGCTTTGCTGTTTGCGGTGGCATCCCTCCCCAGGCGAGGAGGGGGGCTTCACAGGGCTGGAAAAATCGGGAGGTTTGGAAACACGAGGAGATGTTTAAAACTCTCCCCATGGTTGTGACAGGGCGAAATACGAGTGTTGTGTTATCCCGGCTCTGCGACAGGGAGTTATGGGATGTCTCATTGTGTTTTACTCTACACGTTGCTCTACGTACAGCCTGTGTTTGTGTAACTCTGGCCGGTGCCGGGGCGGCCGGAGCACCGGGGCTCCGGCTCTGGCTCGGATCCACCCGTCACTTGCATCCATTGGGATCCCATTTGCTGACATGGTCTCACTCCCGATTTGGTATCTGTGAGGGGGAAACGGGTCTAACATCATTGTTTCCACTCCATGGACGCACTTGCAAAGGGAACGTTCCTTATTTAAACAGGTCCAGAGACTTGCTGGGAAGAAATCACTTTCCCAATTTATCAAGCGGGATTCAAAACCTCAGCCTTCTTCCCTTGGTAAATAGGGCTACCACATGTTTCCCTTCTCGGTTCAACAAGGCGTAGCCTCCAGTCTGAGGCCCAAGAGATTGGGGGGGGGGGGGGGGGGGGATTAAAAAGGGGGGGAAAAATAAAGGCAAACAAGGAAAAAACAGGACAAAAAGGAGCCTGGTTTCACAGCCGGGCAGGAGCGCACGGCCCAGCCCGCTGCTCCGCTCGGCACCATCCGGATAAACCCGTTTCCCTTCTGGTATTGTTGGGTCTGACCGACCATCTGCAGAGGTTGATGCAATGCATCTATATTTTCGATACTCTCTATTTATTGGAAGTAACTTATGTTATTTATTTAGATCCCATAGCGTGCCATCTACGTAACGCGCCCTGTCTTTCTCTCTCTTCTTTGTTTTTTAACTTTATTTATTGATCCAGTGGTGCCAAGTGCAGTTTACATTTATGACGTTTTTACCATTTATTCAGAACACTGGGGGGAGAAGCAAAGCAGTCTGATGGTATTTTTTTTAAGCAACCATAAACGCGGGTGTGATGCTGTTCCATACTCACGACAAAGTGAAAATAAAAGGATTATATTGATCTCTTGCCATGTATTGTCTCTCAGTGATGGGTAAGCGGTGGTGACGTTACGGCCTCAACATGGGGATGGAAATGGGAGAGCAGAGGAGGTCCATGTGGCAGGCTGAAGGATGGCAGGAGCTTGCCTTTATGTTCCAGGTTCTTTTAGGAACCTCCCTGCACACTTGCAAACAGCTCCATTTCTTCCATTTTCATCTGTTGCAAAACTATATCGATGAAACTGATGATCTGGGACATTGCCTGCATGGGGCTGTGCTACCCCTCCTTGTGAAGGTGCTTCCAGTTGGGTTGGCTCGAAGACACACCAAGTCTGGCCAAATCGCATTAAAAAAAAACCAAGGAAAATATAAAAAGAAAGAAAGGGCAAGGTTTTGATAAGGTCAGCCAGAAAAAAAAGCCTCAGTTGCTCCTCTGGAAGCAGTGCTGAGGTTAGACGCATATTTTATTTGACATGGAAAACACCTCAAAGGCGGCAGCAGCATTGGCCAGGGGTTTGTTGCTCTTCCCATTAGGATGACGATGGTGGATGATGTTTCAGGTTGGATGAAAGGCTGCAGTTTGAAAGCCCGGCCAAGTTTAGGACACAAACGTGTTTCGAAGTGGAAAATGGAAGCGTTGGGCCCAGCAGCTGCACGCCCTCCAGTCCCACCCCAGCTCCTTCTCCCTGCTACTGGTTTCCAGTAGCTCCCCAAGGGACGAAAGCCAAGGAGGGACCTGCTGTTGAAGCCCCATTTTAGCACAGATTAACCCCATTGAACAGGCGCTGACCCTTTTAAAAGTGCATTTACCCCTTTTAACGTGTGCTACCCCCCAGTGAACATGGGTTACCTCCAGTTAACACACATGACCCCCTCCATTTGACCCCACTGAGCACAATTACCCCAAATTAGCACCTATTAGAATTATGTCATTATAACTGAAGGCACATTACCCCCATTTAAGGCACATTATGGCATTTAAGGTGCAGAGCATCAGTGTCCCTGACAGGGAAATGCCTGTCTTTTAAAATCACTACCTTCCCACCCCAGTCTGCCCAGGAAAACGATGATTTTTAGTTCTTTTTTCACTGAAAAATAGGCTGAAACTCCCTAAAGCCCATGGTGAGGGTGGGCACAAGCTCCTGTGCTTGTAGCTAAACCGCTTTGGACCCACAAAGGCTCTGTGTGGGGGGGTTTGGGGAATGGAAAGAAAGGTCTGTTTATATTCCCCTCTCCTGCCCACCCGGAGGCCTGGCAGCCCTCGTGGCCGAGTCAAACCTTCACGCTCGAAGCTCTGCTTTGTAAATAGTTTATGAAGCATCTTTAGAGACTCATAAATCTCGGCAGGCGCGCGCACGCATGCGTCCGGGCGCGCTCCAGAGAGCGCTGCGATGCTCCTGCCAGCCTGTCCCGGGAAACAAGAAGGGAAAGAAAGAGCACAAAGTGAAGCTTTAACGCTCGGAAAATCTGACTCCTCCACAAGCATCGGGGAAAAAAAAACAGGAGGGAGACAACAGCGTGAAGCGGGGCAGGGCTGGGGCTGATTTTGGGTGCAATTTCTTGGAGATGAGGTGCATGTTGTTGGTTTTCATGGTGTAAACGGGAGGTTTTCTGGTTCTTGCTTTAAAGCCCCAGCTTGACAAATCCCAGCTCTCCATTGACGTCCTGTCTTCATGTGTTTGGGTTTGAAATGGAAAAAGTAACAAGTAGGAAATAGGATGCTGAGAGCGCTCAAGCTCAGCGCTCCGGTTGTGCTGCTCAGGTTTGCCTCCCAGTAAAAACAGGGGGGAAATAAACCCAGCCTGGCTTCAAAGAGGAAAACATGAAATAAAAGTGAAGACAAAAGTGTGGGGTTTGCAAGTCTTTAAAAGAACCAAACCCAGCCCCATAGAGATGATGATTTGGAACTAGATGATCTTAAGGTCCTTTCCAACCCTAACTATTCTATCATTCTATGATTTCTCTCCTTATATCACTACCAAACAATAGTCGTTGCTTCAGCTGCTGGGGGGTTTTGCCATGAGGGAAGGCAGGAGCTTGGTGGTAGTTCCATGTTCCCTCTCCCTGCCTCCCTGGACAAAACTAGGAGCAGGTTTCCAAAGCCTGGGGTGGGGGGTATCTGCCTGCAGGCTCAGGAAAGCTGGAGATCATGGGGTTTACAGGGCTGGTTCAGGCACCCTCACACATCCAGAAGGACAAAGGCAGGGATGGATGGTGGAAATGCGAAGCTTGCAAGGCTCCAGCTGCTGTTTTCAGGGGTTTGGTGTATCTGAGCATTGTCTCCTCCCTTCCCAAAGTGCAGAGTTCTGCTGAGCCGGGCTCGGGGAGGATTTGTTTCTCCCAAGCTCTTCCTCTCCTCTTGGCTCCTCTCTGGTCTCTCCGCAGAGCTGAAGGCCGACACTGCTCCAAACCCTCCATTTTCAAGTTATTATCGCACTGATTTCCCATGAGGAGCAGCCTTTCTCTCACCTCTTGGGGAAATGCCCCTTCATCTGATCATCACCTCATCAAGATCTCCCCTTCTCTGCTTTTTGGACCCCAAAGCATGAGTTGGGAACGCTTCAGCCTGCCGCCTACCACCTTTAGGGAAAAAGAGAGATTTGGGGTCAGTTGGGGTGTTTTCATGTCTTCACTGCGAGGCACTGAAGCAACCCCTTGTGCTGGTACCTCCAACCGGGTGCGGAGGGGAAAACCCACTCCATCAAGGAGGCAGCAAGCCCCAAAAGCCAGATTGTGACTTCCCAGCACAGTCTCCCAGCCCCGGGCCCCCGTGGCGCAGCCATCCAGATGTTTCCCTTGATCAAGTCCGTCCCCCCCCTTACAGTTTCCCAAGTGTGGTGTCAGCTTTCCCATCTCCTAACGAAATCAGCCTGTGTGGGGCTCCACGTCACCCACAGCCCTTCCCCAGGACACGGCTGCACCGAGGGGAAGCTTGAATGGGAGATGCATTCACGGGCTCCAGTTTTGGACCTGTTAGCACTGACTGCAGGAGAGGACCTTTCCCAGTGCTGGACAAAGCTACAACTGGGCTGTGAAAGGAGCCATCAATCTGTGTTTCTACCCTCCTTGCAACTCCTTGCAGGCACAGGGAGTTGGAACTGAATGACCTTAAGGTCCTTTCTAAGCCAAACCATTCTATGGTCCCATGACTTTTGTCCTGCCAACCCCATGTCCCCTCCTCAAGGACCATGGCTGAAGCCTGTCTGGGTGCAAGCTCCTAACACCCCAGCCCTGAATGCTTCAGCAGAACTAAACCTCATCTTTCAGTCACCCTTTCGAAGGCTGCAGAACGAGGATAAGGTCGATGGTCATCAACCTGCCCCCTCAAAGGCTGGTTGAGCTCAGGGACCCTGAGCCGCTCCCCCAGGTCCTCAAACAGCTCTTGGATCCCAGAGTGGGGTAAGGCTGATGAACCTGTCTGGCCTTCACCTGCCAAAATAGCCCAAAGTGCAAAAGGAGAGTCAGCAACCCTGGCGCTGCCACTCCCCAGTTGAGAGCCCAAAACCCAAGGGGATTAATCTCTTTTTAAGAGGTGTTACCTTAACACAGGTCTTGGAAGCAAAAGGAATGGGGTTTGGGAGGGTGGCAAGGGAAAACTGGGGATTTCTTGCAGCTGTTTCACCGAGCAGGTGCTCCCCAAAGTGCTCCCCCAAAGGGCCTCGGCAGCAGCAGGAGGCATCAGCAAGGATGGGTAAATTCTGCTTGACTTTCCCTGTAGTCGGCAAAGGGATCTTCCACAAGGGTAAATAGCCCAGTGTGGGGAGAATTGGCCCTCTGAGCCATGCAAGATGTCTACGAAATGCATGTGTCAAGCCCTATCCCTCTGGTCCCCCATATTAAGAGCCCAGGTCTCTTTCAGGTGATCTCCTGCTATTCACCACCTCCTCCATCCACGTCCCAGCACACGGGCACCTTGAGCCTGGCCATAAGGTGTGTGTCACCAGCCATGGAAATCGTTCTGCTTTGCAGAGGTACTCGTTCTGCTGGAGAGCAAACCCTCCCCTAGCCAGCCGCTTCCCGTCACCGCTTCCACCGGGGAGCCTTTCAAGCTTGGAAAGGCATCTCTTTCCATTGAAAAGCTGCCCCAAGCCTCCACCTGGCTCCTCCCCACCCTCTGCACGTGAGTTACATCAGGTTCCAGGTTGGCCTCAACAGAAGATTTCCAGATTGAATTGGGTTTTGTGCTCCCCTGACAAGCCCCAGCATTTGCTTGGAGCTCAATCCCTTCGCTTCCCTACTCCAGCCTCTTCCCAGCCCAATGGCACGAAACCATCGGCGTTTCCTCATTCCCAGTGCGTGCTGTCACCGACGTGTGGCATTCCCAGAAAATGCCACCAGTGCCAGTTCTGATGGGGTCCATCTCCATGGTGAGGCCTCTGAGCCTGGGCTGGTTGGGCAGGCTTCAGCCACGCTTCATGGCTCCCTTGTGTAGGCTTTGGAGATGCTTCTTTTCCCCCCAGTCTTTGTGACTTGGGGATGTCCTAGACCAATGGATATTATTTATCCCTTTTCCACATCCATATCAGCTCAATCAGCAGAGTTAAAGTCCTACATCTCTCTACCTGGTCTGAACTGAGCTGGCTTTAAAGATGGGAAGAACACAGGGGTCAGTTGATGAGATGCCAGGAGCTACACCCTAAAGGGGAAGAGGTGTGTGTCTTCAGGTGGGCAAGGCAGGGCCAAGTATTGGCACTAAAAATCAGTGCCTCACAAATCCATTGCTCTTCCTTGAAGCAGCAGCAAGCACATGGCTAAGGAAGACGTGGCATCTTTCTACTGAGTTCCCAAAGGGATTTGCTAAGGTCCAGGAAGACCTCAAGAAACTAAGCCTCAGGAAGGTCTCATCTAGACAGGTCTTGTTGGGAGCACAGGGAAATGATGGGAGGGATAAAGGTCAGGATTCCAGTGCAGGATTTGTTGGTAGGCTTGTGCTGGTCGATGTCTCCAAATGATCTGCAAAAGTGGAGGTGGCAAAGGCTGCTAATGAAAATAAGGGGCTCGCAGTGCTAAAGACAAGGTCTTGCTGATGGTCCTTCTCCCACCAAGTGACAGCAGGAGGAAACGCACAGGGAATCCGTTGGAAATGTGTGCTCAGTGCTGCTGATGGAGAGAACAATCGCATCTCTGTGAGCGCTGCTGGGCTCCCAGCTGGTTTTCCTCATGGAAACACCCTGGGGTCAGGACAGACCTTTGAAAAGCCCAGCTCAGGGCTCAGTAGCAGGCAGGAAAACAAAGTGCACGTCCAGAGGTATGGGCAGGGAGCCTGGAAGGGCACAGCCGTGTCCGCTGCCTCCATGCAATGGGGCTCCTCAACCTGAAAAGGAAACATTTTCCAGAGATGGGACCTGAACAGCAGCAGGAAGCTCGATAAAGGCCAATTATTCCCTGGTTTTCAAACACGTGGCCTGGAGGCATCAGCCGCTGCCAGGAGCTGTGATGTTCGAGGCACAGAGGAGGAGATGGTTCATCACGTGCTGGTCCTGAGCATCAATTTGCCACGGGCACTAAAGCTCAAGGTTCTTTCAGAGAAACCTCAAAGGCAGCCAGGGAGAGAGCCCAAGGCAGAGCAAGGGCAGGACTGGGGCCGTGGGGCTCGGGGAGAGGAGCGTGGCCAGTTCCTCCTGCAGCAGCTGGCAGCGTCGTGGTGTGGCCACCCCTTTGAGCTGCACCTTTGCACACTACAAAGTCCTCGAAACCTGTTGGTGATAGGTATTGCTACCTCGCAATGCCCGCCTACAACCAGAGGTGAGCACAGATGTGCACAGACCCTCTCCCTTGCAGCCCAGGCAGGTTCTTCCTCAAATAAAGATCAATAAAACCAGGAATACTGCAGCTCACCTCTGTGCTTGGCCCTGGTGGGAAGGTGTGCTGTGATGGAGAGCCTTGAAAGGATGATCCAACCAGGAAAAGAAGGGCAGGATGGATGGCACAGCCACAGGGAAGGATCAGTGGTGCGTTCCTTTGTGGCTTGAGCTGAGTGTGCCAGTCACTGCTGCTAGAAACATGTCACCCAGTGATAACAGCTGTAACAAAGGCACAACGGGATCCTCTGTCCAGTTACGGAGAGGTCAAATAAAGCAGCTCAGATGTTTGTGTTAAGGTGTTACCTTCCCGCTGCAAACACCTCTACACTCGCACCGGGCTGCTTCCTCTGTCAGTCTCAATTGCAGGGTTTGCCTGTGGTACCCTTTCTTCTCTACCTTGCGTTGCAGGAGGACAGCTCTGGGAAGGATGGGCAAAGCTGGTACGGAGCAGAGGAATCAGGTCTGCAAATCCCCCTGCTAGATAATGGGCTTCATGGCACATCCACCTCCATCCCCGCGCCCGGCCGCCTCTCCTTCTCACCTTCCCAGCATCCCAAGCTGAAGCACATCCTGGGACTGGTGACTCCAGCGATCACCGTGAGCTGTGGAGTAGATGAGCACTTGAGCAAGACTCCCTGGGGGTCCCTCCTGTGTCCAGTGCCACTGACCACGCTGTGGAGGGTCTCCAGGCAGGTGAACAGGCACTGTACACATGGAGAGGTTGCTTGTTTGCCATGGCCAGAGTGAATTGATCTTGCATCTTGGCTGGGATATAAAGGACTCATGGTGTGTTATCATGGGGCTTAAATAGGTTCAGCTGTAAATATGGATTGATCTATTTCTAGTCTGGGATTAAACACACGGAAAGAGTTTTAGGATAAATTTAGGGTGTTTTGGGTGGGCAAGAGGGATGCACATGGGCAATATGGGGTGGAAGATTCTACATTTCCAGGCCTGCTACCAGCAGAAGTGTCCAGCTCCTGGGACAGAGCTGAAGCTCACAAGTGTGTCCAGGGGCCTCCTGCAGACTTGGGAGCACTCCAGCACAGGTGAGAGCCACAAAACGAACCATGGCACGAGGGATGGGAGCCATAACTCATGGTTTGCTCACCTTGGGGTGATCCAGGCAGCCTGAGGTCCCACAGCTCCTCACTTGGACCATTCAAGTGCTCTGCCTAGAAACTCCATGCTTGAGAAGCTGTGATTTCTTGCCCTTTCCATGCAGGCAGCAGCACAAAGGAAGACCCTGCGTGCCCAGGTGTCTCCAGATGCAATTTTACTCAAAGCTGTAGAGAAGAAAAGAGATTTGAGTTTCCCAGCACCATGAGATGCCCTAAGTTGAGGGATCCTGGAGCACCGGAGAAGAGGCTTCAGGCAGGTGGAATATTCAAGCCTCTTGTGCCCCTGAAAACAAGGATCATAAGGAATGTAAGCTTAGCAAGGGTCAGCAACATCAATGAAACAAATGAGCAAGTGTGGGGAAGCTGTGGGAGAGCCACAAGGCTGTGGGTTGAGAACTCTTCCGAGTGGCACATGTGACATGTGGTGACTGATTGCTTAGTCCAGAAGGTGATGTGAGATTGTAGCATGGACAGAACAAAGAAGCCATTCAGGTAACAGACTTGCCAGGACCCAATGCAGTTGTCAGGAGGATTTACTGGTTTATGATGAATAGTCTCAGTAATCCCTACATCTGAAGACAAATAATGCTGGTGTGGAGAAGCTGCCTCGTAACTGCCCTTGCTGACCCAGGGGGAGAATGTGATGGTGAAGCTTTGGATGCTGAGCTCTCACCCAGCTGAGCACAGGACAATGCAAGGGCTGAACCCCCTGTGCCAATGGGGAGACATTGCTCACCCAGGGATGAGACCATTCACCTTCAAAGAGCTCACCAAGAGCAGTCAGTTCACAACGATGGGTTTGCACACACTGCACTCATCTGTAGCACGAAATAAATGGGTCAGAGACTGGATTTTGTCCCTGAGGCTGTGGCCCATCACGACTCACATCCCCACTGCTTCTCATGAAGCCACATCCAGGGCTTTTGCTGGGAATGCCCTCCTCTCTACCCTGAGCTATCCTTGGACCATGCCTAGATGCTGTTTGGCATAGGCTAAAGTCATGCTGAGGTGCGTGCAGTACAGATGATAATGGGGCAGTGCTCAGACCTGTGCCCTGGCTCCATTTAGTTTCCCATTGCACGTGCAGTGTGTGAGGAAAGGCCTATAGCTGAGGTGTGAGCTCTTGGAAGCATTTATCCAATGGGATGACTTGTCCCAAGGAATGACAGAGACTCCCAGGGGACAGGGCATGTCTCACAGCCCCATCAGCAATGCACCTCTGCTACTATCAAGGCATTGAATGCTTGCATAAGAATTAACTGGGTAAACGTCTCTATGCACCTCCAGTTCCTTTGAAAAGCTTCTGACAAGTCCAGAAGGGAACAAACCACATTTCCCAGCTTCAGCTGCTTTGGGCAGAGCGCAAAGAGAAAGAGCAGGGCAAAGCAGTGGGAGGGATGCAGAATTCCTCTGTGAAGACTCACCAGGGAGCTCTGCCCAAGGCATTCACAGCTCCGGTCTCCAACGGCTCCCAGCTCATTTCTTGCATAACGTTTTGTTGAGGCTTTCCAGGAGCAAAGATGTTTTGGGAGATGATCATTAAAAGGCAATTATCAGCATGGATCCATCGGGAACATGCAGCTGAGCTTTGATGGGGAGGGTGAACAGGTTTTGTCCAAACAGGATGTCTGTTGATGCTCCCCTTCATCACCCGCAGCCTTTTTGCCTGCACAGACATAAAATAAGTGTCAATAGGAGCTCTCACTCTGCTGAATTTCCTATGTGGGTTCCCAAGACAAGGGAGGAGGATCAGGGAGACGGGAGGGTGCCAGTGCCCAATGGCCCAACCTCCAACCCCCGAACAGCAGGTCCTAACATGCTGAGCACGTTGTTTGTGCCTGGTCATACAACCACGTGCCCTGGTTGGCATCCGGCGATGGCTTCCTGATCTTCTAGGCTAGACCCTCCTCACGGCACAGCCCGGTGAGAAAGACACAGCCACCAAGAGCAAACTTAGCGATGCCTGATCCAAAGCTCTTTAATATCACCAGGGAGACTGGGATGGGAGCACCCTGAGCACCAGCAATGCCCCAAACCCTGCATCCCCTTCACCATCTGAGCACCAGCAGTGCCCCAAACCCTGCATCCCCTTCACCATCTGAGCACCGGCAGTGCCCCAAACCCTGCATCCCCTTCACCATCTGAGCACCAGCAGTGCCCCAAACCCTGCATCCCCTTCACCATCTGAGCACCAGCAATGGCCCAAACCCTGCATCCCCTTCACCATCTGAGCACCAGCAGTGCCCCAAACCCTGCATCCCCTTCACCATCTGAGCACCAGCAATGCCCCAAACCCTGCATCCCCTTCACCATCTGAGCACCAGCAGTGCCCCAAACCCTGCATCCCCTTCACCATCTGAGCACCAGCAATGCCCCAAACCCTGCATCCCCTTCACCATCTGAGCATCAGCAGTGCCCCAAACCCTGCATCCCCTTCACCATCTGAGCACCAGCAATGCCCCAAACCCTGCATCCCCTTCACCACCTGAGCACCAGCAATGCCCCAAACCCTGCATCCCCTTCACCATCTGAGCACCAGCAATGCCCCAAACCCTGCATCCCCTTCACCATCTGAGCACCAGCAGTGCCCCAAACCCTGCATCCCCTTCACCATCTGAGCATCAGCAATGCCCCAAACCCTGCATCCCCTTCACCATCTGAGCATCAGCAATGCCCCAAACCCTGCGTCCCCTTCACCATCTGCCTCCCTGGGGGAAGGGGCAGATCTCATCAGCACTGTCTCTCCCCAGACTGCCCCATGGTTTTGCTCCATCCCTATTCTGTCACCAGCCCTGTGCATTCAGCAGGCCCACAACTCCTCCCAGAGGGCACCAGCACCCTTCGGCATGGGTCTGACTCCTTGAAGGAGCCCAGGCCAGGCAGCCCCACTGCTGCTCCCCACGGGGAGTGGTGCAGGAAGGTTGGGAGCTGTTTGTATTCCCAAGAACATTTCCTTCTAGAGAAAAGAAACAAAACCCCAAATAAACCAACAATGACTTAGTGCTGCACCCGGAGCTGAACCACGCCAGACAGATGCCAGTGCTAATGGCCCTATGTGCCCAGGCCAGGTTGCCCACACACAGCATCGAAAGGCTCCAGCATTCTTCTGGTGAGGAATCAGGTTGTGTTTCCCCTATCAGCTTTGGGAATCAGCGATGCTCTGGGTCTCCATGTCAATTCAGCAGAAACCCTGCATCCTCTGTGACAGTTTTTGCTCCCTTTCCTGGCTCGGTAACAGCCCAACACATGGTGCTGCTCCCCCCGAGCTCTCCCTGTCCTGCCCATTCCTTGAAATCATCAAGTGTCTTTCCCAGGTCAAGAGCCAAGATCCTACATTTCTCAGCATTTAGTAATCAGCATGTGATGGCGTCGGGGTAGGATTTCAGCGACTGCAAATAGTAACACCTCCAAAACCCATCCTGGTGCAAACAATCCAAAGAGACAGACCAGGGCACTTAAATAGAATAAAAGCTGCATGCGAGCACAGAAACATCCCTGGTGGGTGAGGGAGGGCCTGGCTTTTCAAAGCCATCATTCCCAGTGAACATGCAGCCTGAACGCTGCCAACAGCGTTCTTCCATCCCATGCTGGGTTTGGAGAGGGAAGAGGAAAGAGGGAACAACCATACCCTTGGCTCTGGGAACCTGAATCTCTCAGCCTCACACAAGCAGGTGGGGAGGTCGCTTTCCCCCGCCCTTGAAGACTTTTCCAGCCTGTGCTTGGATATCCCTGATGGCTTTTGAACTAAGGGACACTTGCTGTGAGGGTTGTTGGGCTTCATGGAGCCCCACCGGCTGCTTCAGCCCCACTCTTCTCCCCAGCACCTAGAAAGGGCCCCATGTGGTGCCGAATGCCACCACAGCCAGCTGCCGACAGCTTCCCTGCTTCCCATGAGCTCCTGTTCCTTCCCCAGCCCCACCTGCACCCAGCATCCTAGGAGGATGCGGACTTGGAAAAAGGGGTGCTAGGAAGGTATGCCCAGAGCTGCACAGCAGCCTGGGAGCAGAGGGCTCTGTTTGGTGAAGATGATGTGAGTAAAACACCAGTGAATTTGGAATCCCACTGCCTCCCTCCTCAGCTTGGCTCTGGTTTGCTCTTTGCCCCATTGCCTGCAGTCTGTGGCAATCGATTTTGCCCACCCAGCACCCTCCTACCTGCTGGTCCTGTGTCCTCTGCGCCTGCCTCCCCAGGGAGCCACCACCTCTCCTCTCCTGGGACAAGTCCTGCAGGACCCTCACCACCGCTGCATCTTCACCTTCACCTTCACTCCTCCCCTCTTTGCTCACATCCAACTCAGGCTCGCCAGCACCGTTTCCCCTGGAGAAAACAAGATTTGACCACCTCTGTGTTCAAAGCTTCGCTCAACATCTGGGGAAGGCTCGGGGGAGCCTACAGGACAACAGCTATTTCATAGGTGTGTGCCTTTACAGGCCAGGACAGATCACTTCATCCTCCAGCTGGGCCTGGAAGGACATCATTCACCCAGGGACCAGCGCACTGGAACACTCCACCCCAGGAGGCATCAAGGTACATTTGGGAGCCATTCCCTGGCTATAAAATACAGCAGGGAAGGATCCAGGCGCTTTTTTCCTCTCTGAAAAGCTTCCGCACCCACTGCTCTCATCCCACAACACCAAGGAGTGCAGGTGGCAAAGCAGAGCATGTCAGGGCACTGCAGAGGCAGCTCCAATGCTACCCGCAGCCCTGCCATCGCCCCAAGCCTCTGCTTCAAACAGAAGGTAGATAAGATACTGCCTGCTAATGGCTTTCCATATAAATATTAGGACCTTCCCTCTCAACCAGTTTACTCTGCCCACTGACCCCCTCGCCGGGGTCACAGGGGATGGGAAGCTGTGGGAGGTCCCCAAGTTTTATAAATGAGAGGGTTTCCCTGCATGGACACATACCGTGAGGCACCCAGGAGCCAAAGACACTGATTAATGGTACCAGGAAGGTTTCTTGTAGGGGAGCAGCATCAGAGCAGTGCTGGGGAGGGATTAGCACCAGATTCAGCAGCTCGGGTGGATTAAGGGTGATTCGTCAGTCATCTCCACCATTTGTCGTGGGTCTCCACCAAAAAAAAGCACCTAAAAAATGAGCAAGAGCTAAGAATCGTTTAGAGTGGGAGCAGGAGATAAACCCACAGTCCTTACCTTTAGGTTTGCTGAAGTTGAGGTTTGAATGTGCATCCAGGTGCCTGCTATGGGTTGATGGGTGGAGGCACAGTCGGCCTGAGGAGTGGGTGAGATGGAGGAAACGTGCCACCTCTTCGACTCCAGTACATGAATACAATCATAGAAACACAGACTGGTTTGGGTTGGAAGGGACCTTAAACATCCAGCTTCAGCCCCCTGCCACGGGCAGGGACCCCTTCCACTGGAGCAGCTTGCTCCAAGCCCCTGTGTCCAACCTGGCCTTGAACACTGCCAGGGATGGGGCAGCCACAGCTTCTCTGGGCACCCTGTGCCAGCGCCTCAGCACCCTCACAGGGAAGAGCTTCTCCTTTATCTCCAACCTGAACTCCCCTGTTTCAGTCTGAACCCATCACCCCTTGTCCTCTGCCTTCAGTCCCTGATGAAGAGCCCCTCTTCGGCATCTCCCATCATCACCCTGAGCCCCTTTGTGTCCAGCATCTCAGCCATAGCCACTGTGCAGGCAGGACCCTGGTGTCTTGGGGGACACAAAGACAAGTCACAACCCCAAAACATGTAAAATAACAACCCAAAACAGAGAAGAGGAAGATTGGCTCTTACCAGACACTGGTCACACCCTCACAAAGCATCCTTTGGAAAGGCTGCACTGCACCCTGGAGCCGGCCCAATTGCAGCTTGTTCCAGGTCTCCAGCTGCACACTTGGGTTGCCAGAAGAAAGCACATTTGGGCAGTGACACCCCCCCACCCCCCCCATACACGCAACATCTCTTTTTTCCAAGAAAAGGCAAGGGGAGGGTGTAGAAGGGGAAAATGTAATAGACAAGTAGCTGGAAATGTAACTCATAAAATCATAATGAAGACCATGCTAGCAGAACATCTCTGATTTAGAGGAAGCCCGGCTAAACAGCTAAAGGTGTGGGTGAAGGACCACAGGTCTCAGCTGGAAGAGCAACACAGGACCCACCGCTCTAGAACCTGACTCTTGCAGAAGGGACCCTTTTGGACATCCCCAAGCGCTATTCCCTTGAGCCTTCCCTAAGGATGGGGCAGGAGCGGAAGAGCCAACAAGGCAGCAAACCGCCCTCCTCCAGCTAATGAGAACCAGCACCCCGACACGGGCTTGTTGGGAAAGCACAGAGCAACCCCAAGTGGAACGGGAGCGGTCCGGGGAGCAGGCACATCCCCACAGCTCCCAGCTGCCGTCTGCTATAGCCAGGCTCGATCCAAACGCTGCTTCTCTGCATGCTTGACAAGTCCAGGGCACCTCCAGGAGAGCACCGTGGGCTCAGCCTCCAAAATCCTGCCCCAAACCAGCAGCGAGCTCCACTGGGACATGCCCTGGGAAGGCTTTGGTAAAGCCAAGACCAGCCAGGATGTCCATCCCACTGCCAGAGATCTCACTTGGGGCCAGCCCTGGGGCTCTGCTTCATTTGTTTCAATGTGCTCCATGTGGGGCTGCAGCAAACTGAGCTGGTTTGCTGTTTATTTCTGCCCCGCTGTCCTCAAGTTTCTAAACAGAAGGCACTTCCAACCCCGACGTGGAAAACGTTCCTCTTGCAAATGGAAAAGGCAAACGTTTCCATCGTGGCCATGTAGGGCTTTTTCTCCCCAGGCTACTAGAAATCTTTGTGTTGAGAAATCCTTGCTTGCAAATAAGGGATCGGACCTACCTTTCGAATGGCAGCTTCCCAAAGCTGAAAGCTCAAGGTGCCTGCTCCTGAGATGAGCATCGCCCTGCAGAGCCTGAGGGGAACATCCTGCTTGTGGTGCCCATGTCAGGCTTGTGCCAGGCATGGGACAAGATTCAGGGCACACACAGGATCTAACAAGCAGCACGTTTTCCCACTGTTGATTGAGAGAGATGGATGGAAATGGGAATCAGAAGCTATTTTGGCCATTAAAAACACCCGGTGGCCACCTCACCTCTCTGCTTACTGTAACACCCTGCGCGTTGATGCTTCCGTTGCCACTGTTGAACCAAGAACAAGAATAGAACCAAGCTTCCCAGCCCAAGGGCCATGCTTGGACCTGGCAGCAGTGATGGAGGGAGGCTCAGCTGGTTCCCATCCTCTTCTTCCCAGCAGCTGCCCCCCAATGAGCTCCAGATGCGGGCCGGGGTGTGCAGTGGCGCGTGGTGCTGCGGGGGGGAGGCGGAGGCAGCTGGGGCTGCTTTTATCCCCTTGGCTTTGTTTCTGAGAGGGGAATTAGCCCGTGGCTGCCAACAACTGGCTCTGGTGAGGGCAAACCCTCCAGGAGCGCTCGCAGTGCTGGACACGGCTCGGCTGCCGTCGGCTGAGACCTGAGAGGGGCCACTCAGTGCTGCGGCTCGAGCCCAGGCTCTGAGAGCCGGTCTGCAGGGATGGGTGGCCAAGCACCAAGCAGCAAAGCTCCCCCTGCTTAACCACAACCCGGAGGTTTCTCCTCCGCAGGCACAGTTGGGGCAGCCAGCTCTGCCTTTGGGCTATCTCAAAGGCTGTAGCATCCCATGAGCCGCATACAAGAAGGATGCAATCCTCTGGGGAGGGGGGGATTGGTAGCTGTAAAATGAGTGAGCATGTTGGGATGCAGGAGGCTCTTCCCCGTGAACCTGCACCGTAGAACTCAGGAAGGCACCACAGTGGCAGCCGTGGGGAAGAGGGACTCAAGATCATAGAGCAAAATTTCACCCTTTGGGTGCTTTGAAGCATACAGAAAGCAGGGGACAAGCAGTGCCCTCAGGCTGCAGAGGCTGCCCTTGGGCTGGGAGCTCACCTGTGCTGCTGGTGAGCACACACATGGATGCCACCCATGGATGCCACGTCTCTGGAGAGCTCTCCTGGACTTGGGGCAGGGTGGGAGTCCAACAACTGAAGAGGCTGAAGCCCCATTTCCCAGCAGGATGGGGTCGGGGTGGTTTTCTGTCCAGCGCTGTGTGGGCCTGCTGATAGACAATTGGAATGAGAGTGAGCCAGCATCTGCTCAAGGTTATTTATTGCTTTTAAGAGACGAGCTTTATTTGGAAGGATTTTGGTTTCATCTTATTTGTGGTGCTTTTGTTGGGGCTGACTTATGGAAACATCCTGGATGCACCAGCATCCCCTCTGCGTGGCGTCACACGTTTGCCAGCCCTGCATTAGCCCTGGGGAGACTTTGGCAGAGGCCTCCCTGCTCTACAGCTGACGTGAGCATCCTCCTGCGCTTCCCAAGCTGGACCCCCGAGCTCTCCCTAGGGTGGGTGGCATGGGGTGAGCTGCCCCATGGGGAGATGCTCTACAGCCCTCTTAGCCAAACACCATCCCTTCCTGTGTCCCCGAGGGTTTGCAGGAAGACCTCCTCCATCCTACCGGTGCTGCAGATCCTTTTGGCATTCTCCAACTCTGCTGCTTCATGGGCTCATTTCAGAGCTGCTTTTATACAGAACAAACAGAAATCACAGCTGGATTGAGGGCAAAAGGCAGGAGCTCCCAGCCAGGGCAGAGGGCTCTGCACACCCCAGCAGCTCCCGCTGTCGTTTTCTGTCCACGAGCTTGAGAGCCCAGCACTGGGTGGAGGACTGTGAAGATTCCTGCAGATGCCCCAGCGCTTCCCACATGCCCATGGGACCATAGGGGAGCAGTCAGGACTGTGGAGATGAGCAATGCCAGTACTTGGAGATGGAAGATCCTTGTATGGGTAAATCACAGCGCTCTGCCCTCCCATGGGAGCACAACACCGCTGATGCCCAGACGCTGCTGGAGCTGGAAGTGAGTTGGTCCCCCAGGCAACGCTCAGCTGTCCCCACCAAAAAGGTCTCCCAGCCCCATTTCCTCCAAGCCTCCTCTTCCAGGAGCCTCCAGTGGCAAAGGCTGACCCCAGCCCATCCCTGAGGTGCAGCCATGCAAAGGGAAGAGGAAGGGATGAGCAGCATGTGTCTTTCAATAACTTCCTAGAATCAATAGTGCCTTGGACTGCTCTGTACCACTACTGGCAAAAGCTCGTGCAATGCCAGACCGTCCTCTGCACGTACATCTGGGTGGTACCAGGAGGCTGCATAGCTGAAAGGAGCTCTTTGGAAGGGAACAGATATTTTCAGACTCAGCTGCACTCACTCAGGATCAGCTATAAGCTCACTCCACATGTGGTGGCACTTTAATGAATTCCCCCTTCCTCCCGGGACCC